AGAGAGAGAGAGAGAGAGAGAGATTGGAACGATTCAATGAATGAAACGATTCTTTAATTTGAAAAGATTTTTATTCTATAACTAATAGTTTTAATAGAAAATTTGATACAATTAATCACTATTCATTTTATTTCTCACAACTAAGTGAATAGTTTTAATGAAGTGAATGTAATTTTTGTTTATTTTTCAATAAAAATGAAAAAAATCCAATTTGGGTGTAGTTTTGAAATTCAAATATTTGATTATAAATATTATTTATAGATTCATGGAATACAGTTCACTGTAGGTATAACATAATAAGTTACAATATTTGCTGCTGTGTTAATTTTTTAAACTAATCTAATAAATTAAAATTTAATAATGCTCCAATTCCCAACAAATTCAATGTGCAAGTTGAAATCAAATTACTTTTCGTTAGTTTCAAACAAACCTTTTCTATCAATAAATTGTCTGAAAAGATTAATCTATTAAATCGTGTGCTAAATATTTATATTAAAGTAATTTTTAATGCTTTTCATATTTACAGCAAAAGCCCCTATATAATAAAAACAAAATTTTACGCAAAAATTGATTAAATCTTTAAAAAATAATTTTATAATCATATCTAATGCTCATAATAAGGGGATAGCAATGTAAGGGAAATAACAGATTATATGAAATACAAAATCAATAGTGTATTAGATATGCTTATAATTGTTAGCAAATGCTTGTATTACATAAGAGACTCGATTGCACTCAAGAGATGAATAAACATTTAAATTATACTCAAATATCTAATGTAAGAAACATTTGAAATTCAATGCGAATATGGCATAAAAGATATGTATTTCTCTCATAAAGATGTCTTGAATAAAGTGATTCAGTGTATAGTCCGTAGGACTCGGAGTTTAGTATTAGTATTGATTGTGAAAAGCCAGTGGAGAGTTGAATAGAAATTTAGTGATTCTTGTATTCAGAATAATACAGAATAATAATAATAAAATATTTACGGCATAAGTGTTTTTTGGCAAATGCATTGCTATAAATAATGATTTTTATGCCTCGTTTCGAAATACAAATATAAACTACAAAATGAATGAAAATATAAATCACAAACTAATAAGTATTTTGCAAACAATGTAATCGTTAGGCAAATGATATGCCGTTTCGCAGATTTCTGTGATAGCTATTCGTAACTTAGATTTTAATGCATTGTTTTGTGTGTCAATGAATTATAGCTTATATTATGTTTGTATTCCGTTATGAAAACAACTGCCGAGAAGTTTGAACACACCATTCCCCTCATATACCATTCCCTTCATATTCCTATATTCCTCGTGTGTTTGTATAGAAATGTTGTATTGAATGGCAAATACAAACACAAATCAATTTCCATCAACAATCCCATTGCAGACACACCAATGTCTCACCAGAAAAAAGAAAAACAATTTTTATATCATTTTTATGGCAGAGAGAGAGAGAGTGAGAGAGAGAGCGAGAGAGAGAGCGAGAGAGAGAGCGAGAGAGAGAGAGTGAGAGAGCGAGAGAGAGAGAGAGAGACCTGTAAAAAGTAACGAGATTTGAATCACAGAATTGCTTGCATTAGAGATATCACAGAATTTACAGTAAAATACAATACAATATATTTTATATAATATTCTGTGAGCACTGGTAGGTTCTTACGATATGGACTGGTATTGTGTGATACATGTCTCCTAAAGTAAGATTAATTTTAAAATGATCTCAACAATAGTGAGCTGTTTATCCAATATTTTTCGTAATAAATCACGAAATAGTAGTCCGACTATCAGTTCACAACACCATTAGCGCCGAAAACCCCCCGTTTTTGGTCACTGTTTGGGCTCTTCTACGGCCCAACCCTTGGCTGAGAAATGATATGTTTTTTGTGCGCAAACTCTAAGCCATCATAACATTGAGAGACAACACAAGGCATGCCTTCAAATCAGTCATTCATTTGTCGATTTGTTTTGAATTCAATTGAATCGACGGACTAATGATGGCATCCATTCAAGCGCTCAACCATTTCCTCAAGAAGTCCACACATTGTCTCAACACTTACGCCAATGTCTTCGCGAGGCATGAGTTGCGGTTAACCGGTATGTCATGTGTTTTGCTGTAGTTTCTTGTGTCCAACAAAACTGATCCATTGATACGATGCGTTAATTGGCAGACAATTTGGGACAACAGATCCGTGGGAAGCGTCGCGGACTGCCTCACACTCCTATCCGATCAGTGCCTCAAGAGTTGCCATTAGATGCCGAAGAGGCGACTCATCGGACATCGAATGCCGAGTCTGTGGTGCCGTCAGATTTGGCTGAACTTCGGTTTGCATTCCCGGAGTTTCTGCCGAAACCTGTTGTCCAACACAGGGATAGACTCTGCGAACAACTGATGCGAAAGGATCTGATCCGCCGGCGGACTGTCCTCGAGATACCCGAGTTCTACGTGGGATCCATACTCGCCATCACTATCAGCGACCCGTACGCGCCCGGAAAGGTGTCCCGGTTTGTGGGCATTTGCATACAGCGCTTAGGACAGGGAACTGAAGCCAACTTTACGCTCCGTAATCGCGTCGATGGACAGGGAGTGGAGATCCGCTACGACATGTATAACCCAACCATTCGCGAGATCCAAGTGTTGAGACTCGAGAAACGGTTGGACCCGCACCTCATCTACTTGAGGGACGCGTTGCCTGAATACAGTACGTTTGCGTTTGATATGACCCCTGAGCCGCACCCGCCCGGACAGGAGGTGCCCCTCAATGGTGTCAAAGTGGTGATGAAGAAGTGGCCTTGGACATCCAAGTGGGAGATCAAGGACTTGCAGGGCATCGCACAACTGTCCGATTTGCCAGACTATCGGTTCATCAATCGGTGGAAAACTAAGAATGAGTTCGAGAAGTACGACCTCATGAAGGAGTACAGGGATCACATCCCCGAAGAGGAACAGCTGTCCATTTGGAAGGAGGTTAAGGACCACAAGGAGACCATCGCTGAGGTCAGGGCTGTCGAGAGACGCAAGAAATTACTGCAACAGACCGTTAAGAAGACATAACACGTGTCTCACTATTGATTGTGTTTTATAAAAGTGTTGATTACAGTACTCTTACCATAATATCATATCTAAACATATTTGATGACAAAATGTGGTGACAATTATTGTTAAACAATTTGGTTTGTCTATGAGTTTAGCGTTTTATTGAATAAATTCATTTCGTAATATAGTTTATAAATTACCCTAATTTGCAAAATTTTAATTTCTACATTAGTATCACTGAATATTTAACTAAACTAAAAAAATAATGTTTAAAATATTTGAACTATAAATGAGTGAAAACACAAACATAACGATTGGCACTAACAGTCAAAATGCAGATTTAATTCAATTTCTTAATTATGAATACTTTGCGATCATTAACCAAACCAATGGTTTCCCATACAATCCCTGTTCCACTCGGTCTGACAAATCCAACACCAATTGAATCCGCACTGAGATCTGGTGCACACCATATGCATACACCCGCCGCTCCTTTCGGTAGGCGTCCGGCACTTCGGACACGGTTTGGTCGACAGTCTTATAGCCGTTCGGGTCATCATATCATCCCATTTGGAGTGATCGGCGTTCGCGGCACTCATGGCTTGAAAGGCACTGGTGTTGGGCTCCGACACACCATTGTCTGCGTCGGACACGCAGTCGTCCACATGATATCCCTGAAGACATTTGCGACAGAAGACGAAAGTGCATTCACTGCATGTAATACGCGTACAAAACTCGGGCTCCGTTTCGTCCAATAGGATACCGGCGCCACATCCCGGTTGTGGACACAACACTCCGCCCGCACTCAGCACACACTCTTCGGCGCCAAACCTCTGGTACTTCTCGTACGCTATTTGTCCCATGAGTTTGAAGTGATGCGTCTCACGGATGAGCGACTCGTGACACCCGACCGCACAGTTCACTGAATACCCGATTTGAGGGTCGGTTACGAATCGGCGTTCATTGAGTTTGGAGAGACAGTAGTCTCTGAAACAGTGCAAACATATGACATGTTTGGCGGCGCACGGAAACACCAGAACCGTGTCCTTGACGTCAGTGCACGCGAGACACGACACGCCGATGCAGTTGTGGCGGATGAGGGGCAGCACAACCGCACGACTCCTGTCCACCGCATCGGCGCCTGTCGTCCGGTCGTCATCGGCGGCGCTGTTGTGAGTATTTGCCGCACATTTGAAGTAAAACTGAGCGATAGTTCCGTTACAGTCCTGCGACTGACAGACGCCAGTGATTCGGTTGGGGGTCAACACGTCGTGCCACTCACGAGGCTCTCTGTCCACAACGATTGTCCCGTTTTTGCATTTATCGCAAACCACGCGAAGCTTTCCGTTCATCAGTTGTTCACATGAGTTGCAAAACACGAAGAAATAGTACTTCTGTGCGCTCTTGTCCTCATCAGTGGTCACACGTCGAGACAATCGGTTCCTGTCCTCGAGTTCGTGTCGAGTCTCTTCATTCGTGTCATTCATGTCAAGGTTTGTGAGCTTCTGGTTAAGTGTCAACTGATCACTGAATGGCAATAACTTGGTCTTCGTCTTAATGTTGAGGGCATTGATGGCGTGAATCACCGAATTGTGTCCCAAATCGCAATCACTTAGTCTTAAGTCGTTTGGCAACTCTTTGCCCGAGAATATGATCACCACATCTGACCACAAGTGGACACCAATCTTGTCGGTCAA